ACTATTGACTTTTATTTAAATTTCATTTTTTTTTTTGAAAAAAAGAAATAAATATCAATAGTATAATATTATAATAAAAAAATTCGATTTTGAAATACTGAAAAAATTCGTACTGATAATTTTTAGTGAGTATTATTATAAATTGTAGGTATTTAAAAGTACCATATATATATGAATAATATATGGTTTCTGTTGCATGGGAAAATTTTCCTTTAAGACGAGAGTGTTAATATTTATCTTTTAACACACATGCCCCTTCATAGTTTTAAATATACGTGTATTTTAAAGTCACGTATATTGTAGTAGAACATCTGCCTTCCATCCGGTCCGCCTACAATTTATACCCGCGTTTATCTCTCGTAAGTTTTGGTTACTTGAAGTTAATTATTATTTAACTTGTTGCTTTCAAAAGATGAAATTTTTCATTCAATTTTGAAATTTTTTTTTATTATTTTTAATTTTTATTTTTAAAAAATAAATTTTTTACTTTTATTAGAATATTAATATTAATTAAAAAATTGAAATATTAAAAAAAGTAAGGATCTTGATTTTTGTTGAAATTTATATATATATTATTTTATGCTGATTAATTCGCTTAGATTCTAAGAAAAAATATAGTTACTCCGAATGAAAAAGAATGTGGCGCGGTTTAAATGGGTGCAAATGTCAAGTGTGCATAAAACCTGCTTCTTCGGCGGTTGCCTATCGTTTTTATCAACTTTCAAAGACATTGTTTTTTTTTTTCTCTCTCTGGTGACTCAATTCATTTTTATAAATAGGAATTAAATTATTTACATTTTTCGAAGCAAAAATGGATTTTCATTAAAATTTTATTTGATTTCTTTTAATATGTTGGTTTATTTATTTTTTTTTTTAAATCAAAGATTGATGCAGCTCAACATATAGACTTCCGTTATTAATCATTTAATTATGATCGATTGCATCTATAATTATTGTTTTTATTCTATCACTTGTCAAGTAGAGGAGAAATGAAATGTTGTGTATGGTGTAATTCAGTTTTTTCTGACCTTTCCCTTTCATGATATATACGTGTGTATTTTCTTTTAATGCAAATTCCCAACGATCAATTGACCGAGGATCAAATGCATATATATATAGTCTAATCGATCGCTATAAGAAAATTTTTTTTTTATATATATATAGAAAGCCCGAAGCTGATCGCAACAATCTTGAGTACAAAATTACTATGATTACTGATCAATGGTCTAATTTGATTTTTTTACACATTTGTTTTATAGTTGCTCAATTTTACATTTTCCCTGAAAGAATAAGAAAATAATTTAAAATTTTATTTTCAAATTCTATAGAAATAAAAAAAAAAAAAATTAAATTGCAATTAGTAAACATAAAAAATACCTTTCACTTTCATAAATGACTTAAACTTAGTTTACTTTTTTTTTTTTATGTTGCTGGGTAATAACTGTCGGCAAATAAATGAATGAACTTGTTAAAAAAAAATTTTTTTTTAACCTCGCGCACAAGATGAGGAATCGTCCCTTCTCATTAATTTAGCCGAGGATACTTTGGCCTTGATCCTTTTTTGTTTCATGTATATAATATATAATTTTTATTTTGAAATGAAAGAAAATACTTTTTTTTTTTCTTTATACATTTAAATACAAAATTTTATTATACAAAAAATATTAAAATTTTATAAAGGATCAATAAAAAACACAATGAATTTAAATATAAACTATAATTTCATAAATATGGATAAAGATATTATAAATTGTTATAAAAGATTGTTATAAGTATGTTCATATATATTGTAGATAAAGTTTTCTGAACCCGCTCTATATTTCATGTTGTCCATTCTTTTGCATTCACCGCGACCATGCAAACGTGAACTTAACTACATATTATATGCATATATTATCAAGAACGATGAAAACTATAATTATATATGAAAATTCTGACTCACACTTCCGCCAAAGTGCATTTTACAGAGAGAGAGAGAAAATTCCAAAAAAAAAAACTTTAATTCATCTCGCACACTTTCCCCCATATACTATATAAAACAGTAGGAAATTATTTTTAAATCGGTTTTTTAGGAGTCCCGCAATGACCATTTTTTTTTTTACGATGAGGCTCGATTTCAGTTTACGATCGTTAAGAATATATCTCTTTTAATTTAAAAACTATTTATCACTCGTCAAGTGAAACTAATGGATGATTTCTTATAATCCATTTCTCTTTAGAGAAATGGTTCACGTGGAAAAGTCATATATAGCTTTTTATTATTTTTCTTTACGATAAAAAATTATTGTCCTAAAATTTTGCGTTTCAAATAAATATTTTTTCAACAAAAATTCATATTTTTTTCTGCTTTTTTAAATATTATGTAATAATGAAAATTCGAATAATAATATTAATAACAATAATAATAATAATAATAATAACAATAATAACAATAATAACAATAATAATAATAATAGTAATAATAATAATAATAATAAAAAAAAATTAACTTGAATTTAACAAAACGAAAAATGCCATTAGAAATTTGAATTTTATTAACGATTAGTTTTACAAAAAGGTATATATTTGTTGCAAATATGTTTTTTTTTTCCTCTAAGTTTGTGATTTATTTCACCTGCTATTTTATACAGATTGTCTAGTTTAAAGCCTTTAACACAGTGCTTGAGCACACAATGTATGCGTTAGAATGAGTTAACGTGTTAACTTCCTTCCAGTCTGAAAAATCAACGAACGGAAAACTTGTTCACAAAGATGATTTACTATTTCATTGATTTTACAGAAAATTATAATTCTAAAGAAAAAATAATTTTTTTTAATAATAATTATTAAAGTTAAAATTAAATAATATTTATTGCAAATATTGAGAATAAATATTACAGTGAAAAACAAAAATTTATTTGATTCAAATAATCTTGACTATTACGAAATAAATATATTTATACATGAACTAAATAATTTTTTATTTTATAATTAAATAAATTCTATTTGAATTAAATTCTATTATGACACTGAAGTTACCAACGTTGATTCGACGAATCAACGAACGAATTTTCCGTTTTCTGATTAGTTTAAAGGTCAAGAACCAATTTTTTTATATTGAAACTTCTTTATTTTGGTCCCAAATACATCCTTAAACACTAAAAATCTTTAACCAAGGCGGGGAAATATTCAATCTGAGGAAAAAAAAATTCTTTTCGTCGATTCAACGTTGGTAACTTCAGTGTCATATTCTATTTCATTATTTGATTCAAATAATCTTGACTATTATTAAATAAATATTTATAAATGAACTAAATAATTTTTTTATTTTAATTAAATAAATTCTATTTGAACCAATAATTTCTGTATTTGAAAGAAATAATAATTCTTTAATCGAATAATTTTTGTATTTGAAAGAAATAAATATTTATTTGATAATATTCGATTATTTGAATCAAATAAACTTTTTTATAAATATAATTTTTATATTAGACTTGAATATATTAAAATTAGAAAAAATATAAAATAAATTTATTTATATATTGTATTTATGTCGATTGAGTATAGATAAAATAATTTTCATTGTCTAAGCAAATAGGCTTGAAAAAATTATAACGGGCTTATAATAGTGCGCCTTATTTGGTCTTGAGATTGAGGTCTCTATAAAAGATTTCGACTATTATATATATATACACGCTTCTTCAAAGGAGCAAAGAGTTAAGTATAACTGTAATAATGTAGACTAATAAGACCCCGCGTGAATGCCTTGATCTCGTTTTTTTTTTTCTTGTGTGACAATGAGAAAGAAGAAGAACCCGTTGACAAAGAAATCGTCACATTAAATTCTTCTTATTGAAAGCTACATAATCAAATGATTTATAATACAATCCTTATGAAATATATTGCATCGCATATATTTTAAATATGATTTATGATGATGCATTTTTTAACTAATTTTAATCAGATTATGTAAGAAAAATTATTTTTTAACGATAGAAATCATTTCTTTTTTATAGTTTAAAATACAATTGGAAATGTATAACAATATATGAAAAATAAATTACAGTTCCGTGTTTATGAGAATTGGAATTTATGAGAAAACAATGTGTCGTGTATTTTCTGAATTAATTCAGAAATAAAAAATATATTACAAGATTCGAGATTATTATAGAAAAGAAAAGAATATTTATTTTTCTAAATAGAAAAAAAGTGAGAAATTAAATTGTAAAATTAAATTCTAAAATATTAATTTTAAAAAATTATAAATAAATTATAAATAAATAAAAATTTGTTATTGATAATTTTCTATTTTTTTTATTTAAATAATATCTGCTGACGATGCAACCATGACCTTTTCTCATATTATATATCGTGTGTGTGTATATATATAAAACGCGGAAGTTTACGCGAAAACTCTATCCGATGTAATCAAAATAGGTGTCTTGTAAGTCTCGAGGTCTATCTGACAGGCTATACAGAACGTATGGCAATTTTCGTCTCAGATGCGATTCCATAATGCTGGACGAAGCGTATATATGTTCTCAACTTGGAGAATGTAACATTACTATTGCAAGTGACTTGACTTAACTCGAAAGAGACCCACATAATCGCGAAACCGGCAACCACATTCCTCATACACACTTCGTTTTATAGGCTCAGATTTCTGTTTCTCACCTTAACGTTCTATACTTTAATTTGCAGTATAGAGTTTTCGCGAAACAGCTTTCTTCAATTTTCTCGCGCGCATGAAAAATCAAATTTATCAATTTTTCTTCAAACTGATTCTGCACTTTCGAAATTAGCAATAATTTTTTTATTTAATATAACTAAAAAAAAATTTACTTTTGTTTTTGATTTTCGAAACGTTCATAAATCAAATACGGTCCAGAAATGGCCTTAGGCTGTAGATTAAAAATTTTAAAAATTTTTTGAGATTAGAAACAAAAATTTCTGTCTCAGTAAAATATTTATTAATATTTTTCTTCACTTTTTTTAATTTGGAAAATTTCTTTTTTTTTTAGGATGCATCAAAGGAGAAGCTGGTTGCGATACGTGTCGAGGTGATTTTTGCTTACGATGTAAGTTTCTTTTTCATGAGGGTTCTTGTGTTGACTCGTGTCCACCAGGTCACACTGAAGTTTGGTCCACACGAGAAGATTACATGGGTAAAGTCTGCAAGGAAACAATAAGAAAATTTATATTTGGCCTCTCAGGAAGTGAAATAGCAATTCTTGTTGGTGTTGCCTCCGGTGCCACAATATGCATCTTTATTATTCTCTGTGGAGTTATTGTTGTACATCGAAGAAAGAAAAAAGCAGCCAAAATGATTCAGCATTTTGAAGACAGGTAAAATTTTCTAATTTTCATTATTCAAAATTATATAGTAGAAAAAAAAATTATTTTATTCGAATAGTCTATTATCAAATTATACGTTAATAAATATTTATAAAATTTTTTTTTCAGTGCTGAGAGAAGAGAATTTTTAAAGCATCTTGCAACCCTCAGAGGAGAGGGAAATACATTCCTCTCTATGCTCAACGACACCCGAAGACAAGTCAGAGAGTTGCACTACTCGGGAAATAATGGGGATGGAGCTGTTGGTATTCAAGCTTACAGGTAAATTTACCTTTAATTTACTTTTTTTTAAATATTTAATTATTAAATAATTAATTTCTTTTTTTTTGTCATTTTCTTTAATTTACTTTTTTTAAATATTTAATTATTAAATAATTAATTTCTTTTTTTTTGTCATTTTCTTTAATTTACTTTTTTTTAATATTTAATTATTAAATAATTAATTTCTTTTATTGTCATTTTAGGCCCGTTCTCCGTGATCTTGCCAGAATTCTAGTATTGATAAATAGGAGAGACGATGAAATACCAAGACCCCCAGATGACTGGCAAAGACTGCTCTCCTGGGCTGAACGACTTCTTCGAAGATATAAACGACACACATCACCACAAGTGAGTCAATCTTTTTCTTGGAGATTAATTAAAAATAATCTTCAATTCACATTTTGACCGTTAAATTCTTTTTCTCGCTTCTTACACGCTAGTCTGTAAAAGAACATGGTGAGTTAAAAATAAATATTTTGAACCCTCAAACTTCTTTTCTCATTAAAGTGATAATTTCAAAGAAAAATATTCTCATAGTCAGGAAAAATAGAAAATTAATCAAAAAAAGGTAGCAAAATTTTCCGTGTCATAAAAAAAGCAAATATATATATTAGCATTTAGCAATATAATTATTAAGAAATTAAAATTAATTAATTTAAATAGGTTGCGCAACTGGTGACATTTCTCCAGCAGCCAGCAACATCCGTCCAAATAGGAACAAATCCACAACAAATATCGATATCGCAAACATTTCAAAATTATGAACCACGAGCAACACCAACGAATCTCACAACGTTTCAAGCGAATGCACCACTCACGACATTCCAAGCCAGTGATAAATCAAGCATTAGTCCAGCAAGTTCAAGTATTGGTTATACAAAAGACAACAGTCCTGTGGGTTCAAGTCTTGGTCAAAATAGCTCGAGTATTTATAATGAGAAACTCAGTCCTAATGGATCCACTATTGGACAATCAACGCCTTTGGTGTCAACAAAGGATAAACGTGTGAAACAAGTGGGTTCACATCATCATCATCATTTACAAGAACTCGCCATTTCACCATTCAATCATCACACTTACAGTCCCGACAGTAATTTAGCTCATAATAAACATTTAGTTGGTAATAATAAACAATTAGGTGAACTCGATCATGAATTAAATCCACAGTGGGAGTTTGAGAGTACAATAGAAGCTGCCAATTTCACCATTTTATCAGAATGGGCACCTGGTCGTGATTATCTTGATGATTTCACGATTTTAGGATTTCGACCACAAGACGAAATTACCACGGAATTGTAATAGTAGTCGTTGATTTTTTTTTTTTTTTGCTGTATTATAATAATGCATTCATTTTCATTTTCGAAAATGAGACGAAAAATTAATTCAAAAACTTTTTTTTTCTATGATTTTGTTCGTGCTGAAAATACTGCCTGATTGCATAATAATTAATGCAAAATATTTCAGTTTTGCTCAGGCCTTAAAAAAATTGAATTTATGCAAATTCATTTATTTTATAAATTATATAGAATTAAAAATTAATTTTTAATTTGCTTAGATAAGCAGACAATATTTCAGTTTTTTTTTTTCTTTAAATATTATTTTTTGTTAAATTATTTTGAAAAATTAATTTTTTTCTTATTTTTTTATAATAAAAAATTTTTCAAATCTATTTTTTTTTTTTTTTTTGGTAATGACAAAATTATTATTTGCTGTTTAATGTTTGTGGATTAAAACATTAGATAGCATTTAGAAAATGAACGAATTTTTTTTTGCATTTAAAAAGCCTTACAAAGAAACCAATTGTGAGTCACTAAAAAATTCTTATAAATAGTATCTACATATAGCATATCTTTCATTGTAGAAGAATAGAACGAGATTATAAGAACACCAAATAAGAATGAATTTTTGTATAATATATATATTTGATTATTTATATAAACTTGTCAAAATAGAGTCGCAATATAGCTGGCTTCTATCTATGTTCTCGTACATATGGCCACTTTGTACCTTTCAAACTAATAATTGTTATGTCCCCTTCACTACAATTTCATTGTTTTCCTTTTACCTCTATTGCTGCTCTCTTTTTCTACATTGCAAATAAAAAAATCTTATTTTAAGGGTAGAAATAAAAAAAAAAAGTTAGTCAAACTTCATATTTTGTTATTTTTAAATAAAAAAACAATGTACAGTATTTTTAAATTAATTAATATAATTGTTTTTTTAAATTTAAAAACACTTAAATGTAGAGTTGAACTAACTTTTCTTTTGACCCTATTTTGCAATTGAAAAATAATTCTTCAAATCTATTGGCTCCACGTTTTTTCAATTCGAAATTATCAACTAATTTTGATTGGCTATTATTAACTAAACAGTTTAATTTCTTTAGACATATTAAAGTCCCTTATACATAAAAAGAAAAAAATTTGTTACACTTAAAAGAAGTAACATTTTTAATTTTATACATTTTTATATATTTTTTTTATTTTTTTTTTTGGTATAAAATGTTACTTTTTTGACACTCGCCGAGTTGCACATTCAAACAGTATTTTTTCTATACTTATTTTTTATTATGTGCAATCAAATAGAGATACACTGAGAAATACAAAATCTTTCTACAAAAAAATGCAAGAACGATTTTAAAATGAAAAGAAGAAATATAAAAAAAAAAGATGTTGTATCGCTTTTTCGAAAAAACTTTGACATAATAATATTGTATTGTGTACACTAAATTTGTACACACATTTTTTGACCAAATAGGTCGTTTGTACATATCGTTGTAAATAGTGGTTATAATTTTTAATATAAATTACAGCGACTGTCGAAAATAATATATATGATTAAAATAAAAGAAAAGAAAAACAAATGATTGTTTCTATTTCCTTTATTTATGATTATAGAAAATTAATTAAAAAAAATACATTTTTTAAAAGTGTAAAAATATATTATATTAAATTATTTTACAAAAATTTTATTCCTTGAAAAAAGTAGGTTTAAATTTTCGCGCCAACTGCGCACTAACAACGGAGTCGATGCGCGCGCAACATCCGGTTGCGTGCGCACTTTTGTAATCTAAAAAAATCTTATTTTCTGCTATTTAGCCATTAAATTCACAAAATTTTCTATATTTTTCATAATCAAGAGTCTTAAAGTGATTGTTTTAATCTATTACAAACTAATAATAGACTTAGCGAAACATTAAGTCATCCAAAGGGACCCGCGCCTCATGCGGGTGGGCGAGCTACGCCATTTTGCATCGTATTTTCTCTAAACCGTCAGTGCGTTGCTACATCCAACAGTTTTTACAAAATTAAAGGGGTTAAAGACATTTTGCAAGTGGAAAAAGAACTTATTGTGGTGCGGTCTGCACGCGTTTTTGTTTGGTGTTATTTTAAAAGAAGTCAGTGAGGGTGCGGGGCCATTATTAAGAGGCAAGAGGCGTCCCCCCTTGCGTCGATACCTCCTCCATCTTGTCCCCGTTCCACAATAACCAGTGATAATATGTGCGCGAAACCAGAAGATGGTGTCCAATTTCGGCCGTCTTATTTTACACGAGGCTCATAAATCACGTACCATTTAAAGTTCATCATCGAGAACGTCAATTTAGTTTAAATTTGAATAATTTCGTGGTGGCCTTCGGCGGCCCCGGAAGATGCTCTGATGAGTCACCCTTCCCCGCCTATACTGTAAGGAATATTTTCATATAATCATCTTTTAGAAAAATTATTTCAATACCTTTTGTTTCTTTTATTTTGTTTAAAATATTTATTGTTAAAAAAAAAAAATAAATTGTGTCGTTTCTTGTAAAAATGTGAAAAACAATTTGCAATCTACACATTTTTTTTTATTGTTCCATAAGAGCTGTTGTAAAACGTAGATAGGTAATTTCCAGTAATACTTGTGGCATGAATGTTAAAATACATAGATAATAAATATTTATTTCTTTTATTTCTTTTTAATTTTAAATGTATCTGACCTTGAATTTCAAATTGAATCAATTATGAAGTTAATTAATCCTTTTTTTTTCGTTTAGAGGAGAAAATGAAGACCACCGCGAAGGATTGACAGGTGTTTATCATTGAACAAAAATGAATAGTGATCAACATTCGCTGCCAGCGACTACGCAGGCACAGCAAGAGGTGAGAATAATTCGATTTTTCACAGGCTACTTGTCTTCAGGCAAATGCGCATTATTATTATTATATATTTCATTCTGAAAAATGTTACCAAGTCGAAAGAAAGATTTATTTTTTAATAATCGACTTTGTAACATTGCGCTTTAAACACTATTTTCATAATGTATTAATATGAGCACACTTTTATGATTATTAAAAAAAATTATAAAAGTTCTTTATCTATTTTCTCGTTTTCTCTACAGTGAAGTTGCTTTTTGCACTTTTTTTTTTGGTAATTTTGTGAATTCTAAAATATGATATTAAAAATTTCTATAATTACATAATAGAATTTATAGTGTGTTTAGTCTTGTTTTTGCTTAGTAAAATTTGTAATTTTGATAAAAAAAATAGAATTAAATTGTGAATAATAATATTAAAAGCAGCAAATGATTTAGCGCATTTGTTAATTAGACTAGTGCCTTATTGCATGCTGCCGCATGCCATATCGATGTTGTACAAATGTCTGAATGTATATCGATAGGAAGTAAACACTGGTCAAAGTGGTCGTCCTTCGTATCCGGGTGGTTTGCCTGCAACAACCAGCCTTGGAAATGTAGGAAGTACACCGCATTCATCTGCGGACCTTCGTGTAGGTACAGCAGTAGCATTAGCTTCCTCGGTAGCTAAATATTGGGTCCTCACCAATCTATTCCCAGGACCAATACCTCAGGTCTCTGTTTATCACCATCCCCACCATAACGCCTCACATAGAGGTGGTGGAGGAGGAGGAGGTGGCAGTGAAACTCCCTCAAAGGAGTCACCATCGGCTCTCAATCAAGAAATGGCATTGACAACAAGTTCTCATCATCAGAATACATCTTCACATCATCATCAATCTCCCGTTAGTACCAGCAGTCATCACAGTTCGTTGCAGTCAAATACCCAGGTTTGTTTACGTAGATTGCACGTTATTATCTTGCACTGTAGAAAAAATTGCTAGTTGACACCGAGACTCGATCATTTCTGCATTTGAACAATTAACATCTATTCCCAAAAGAGTACCATTATTTCAAAATGCAGATGTGACGTGTACTGGCATGGCTGCTGATTACAATAATTATTTTTTTTTTTTATATTTTTGTAAAAAAAAATTTCAATCAAGTGCAAGTAAAAAAGAGAAAAAATTAGTAATGCAATTTACATAATTTAAATATCTTTGAATAGATTCCTGTTTCTCTTCCCGGATTGAATTTGGATGGAAATCATATACCCACGAGTCATTTACAAGCAGCGCACGCTCAAATGCAACAACAGATGCAATCTCAACAACAACAAATGCATCAACAACAGCAACAATCCCAACAGCAGCAGCAAACGCATCATCAAATGCAAAATCATCAAAATGCCCAAAATAATGTACAAGCAGTCCAAAATCAGAATTCCCAAAGAGACGATAAAGTGAAAGATGAAAATGGAAGTTGTACAACCGAAAGATGTAGTGACAATCAAGTTCATTGTCAAGTTCAATGTGATCTTCAATTACAAGCACCACAAGATTTACAACAAAGTCTAATGCAACAACATATTGGTGTTAATATAACTGGTAATTCAGGTGATAATGGAAATCCAAATAATTCCGAGAAATCAGAAAAAAAGGAAGATATGAGACAAATTAACATGGCACAGTAAGTTTCATTTTTTTTTCTTTGATTTTATCAAACTAATTTAAAATTATTATCAGATTTCAAGTTCCGGATTTAAAACCCGGTGGTCATATGATGGATGTAAGAACTGCCGATGGATCAGTCGTGAAAATCAGTGCTGGAAATGAACAAGATTTAGCTAAAAGTTTGGGTGTCGAAATGGTGCAAAATATGTATAAAGTAAGAAACATTTTTATTTGCTTTAATTAGCATAATTGAAAGTTTATTTATAAATTTTGTGTTTCATCTAGGTGAATGTAGAGGATATTAATCAGCTTTTAACGTATCATGAAATTTTCGGTAAGCTACAAAGTGAAATAGCTGCAGGAACAACATTAGTCGGTGGAACCGTACCCACACAGACAGTTACCACAATTCAAAATGGTGCACCAATAGTGCAACAAGTTCAGTTAAATAAATTTGACATTAAAACCAGTGATGGAGAAGCAACGCCAGGACCAAGTGCATCTCCAGTTTCTGTTGGCAGTCATAATTGTGACGTTTGTGGAAAAATATTCCAATTTCGCTATCAATTGATTGTACATCGAAGGTATCATACTGAAAGAAAACCATTTACATGCCAGGTGATTATAATTAATTAAAATTATTCTTATTAGTATGAAATTTAAAAATAATTTATTTTTATTTTCCAGGTGTGCGGAAAAGCTTTTTCCAATGCAAACGATTTGACTCGTCATGGTAAATGTCATTTGGGAGGATCAATGTTCACGTGCGCTGTATGCTTCCACGTTTTTGCTAATGCTCCATCTTTGGAACGCCATATGAAACGTCACGCAACAGATAAGCCATACAATTGTACAGTTTGTGGCAAAAGTTTCGCTCGAAAAGAACATCTTGACAATCATACTCGTTGCCATACTGGAGAAACGCCATATAGGTACAAAAATCATATAATTTGTAAATAACTCTTTTGCTAATCTCTTTTTTTTTTTTTTGTTTCAGATGTCAATATTGCGCTAAAACATTCACACGCAAAGAACACATGGTGAATCATGTGCGCAAACACACTGGTGAAACTCCCCATCGTTGTGACATTTGCAAGAAAAGTTTTACGAGAAAAGAACATTTCATGAATCACGTGATGTGGCATACAGGAGAGACTCCACATCATTGCCAAGTTTGCGGTAAAAAATATACTCGCAAAGAACACTTGGCTAACCACATGCGCTCTCATACCAATGACACTCCCTTCCGATGCGAGATATGCGGTAAGTTATTTTCGAACAAAAAAGGAAAATTTTTAGCAATTATTAATTTTTTTTCGAAACGAATATTAAAAACAAATGAATAAAAAAAAAAAAATGTTTTTTTTCGATTTTGTTAATGTGAATGCAGGTAAGTCGTTTACAAGGAAGGAACACTTTACGAATCACATTATGTGGCATACGGGCGAAACACCACATCGTTGTGACTTCTGTTCAAAAACATTCACACGAAAGGAGCATCTTCTGAATCACGTTCGACAGCACACGGGTGAGTCTCCACATCGATGCGGCTTCTGCTCCAAATCGTTCACCAGAAAGGAACACCTTGTTAATCACATCCGCCAACACACAGGTGAGAGCGGTTGGCAGATGTTCATTTCACGGACAAACCGACTTGAACGTTTTTTTCTTAATCACTCTTGTGATTTCTTTTTTTTTTTTTTTAGAGATTATGAAAATAATTCTTGGGGCTGTGATATTTAAAATTATTTTTAGTAAATAATGCACGTCTCTTGTTTTAATTCAAAAATGAAAAAAAAAACAAATATAAATTGTGCCGTCCTGTTTAAAATTGGCATTTGCATGCTGAAAAAATCATTTCTATCAATAATGATTAATGGGATGTTATAAACGTGTGTGCCTCATCATCATTTAAAATGCCTCGTCATTCAGTTCATAGTGTTTTCCATATTGATTCTCTAACTTAACATTTGTTTACACTTTAACCTCTGCGATTTCATTGAAACACAAGAGACATATTCATTGTTCTGCCTAATACACCGCTCTCATACATGCTTACCACCAACTTTTTTTTTCAAAAATTTTTCATACAAAATATTTATTTTCTTTTTTTTTTGTATTATTTTTATATTGTTATAATTTTTCAATATTGGAACATCAAACAACTTCCGTCATTTTATTAATTAAAAAAAAAAGTATTTTATCTACCGGGATCAATATTTTAAATTATTAAAAATTTAAAGTGATTTTTATTTTAATATATCAAATTAAATTTCGAATTTTTTTTAATGGTGATTCATTTTTAAATGATTAAAAGCTTTCTTTTAATTAAATTCTTAATTGAAATTTTTTACTAATTCAAAAAAGTGTTTTCATGTAAATATCAATTATTAACTAACTAGTCATAAAACACTGATTGCATAAGTTGCATTTTCTTAAATACAATGATTTATTTAATATTTAATATATTTTTAAGTTTTTATATCATTTATTGTATTTAGCAAAATTCAACTCGTGCAAATTAGCTGAATCTAATAAAAAATAATTATGTCTTTATAAATTTAGGCGAGACACCCTTCCGTTGTCAATACTGTCCGAAAGCATTCACGCGCAAGGATCATCTGGTAAATCATGTTCGCCAACATACGGGTGAGTCACCGCACAAGTGTCAGTATTGCACCAAATCATTCACGCGGAAGGAACATTTGACCAATCACGTGCGTCAACATACAGGAGAATCACCACATCGATGCCACTTTTGCTCTAAATCCTTCACCCGTAAGGAGCATTTGACGAATCATGTACGCATTCATACCGGAGAATCACCACACAGATGTGAATTTTGTCAACGAACATTCACCAGGAAAGAGCATCTCAATAATCATCTTCGTCAGCATACCGGAGATTCATCTCACTGCTGCAACGTCTGCTCCAAGCCCTTCACACGAAAGGTACACAAAAATCTGATTTTTTTTTTCTTTTATTTCAATTAGAATCGGATAAATTAACATTTGATTTCTTTCAGGAACACCTTGTAAATCACATGCGTTGCCACACTGGTGAGCGTCCATTCGTTTGCACTGAATGTGGAAAGAGTTTCCCATTGAAGGGCAACTTATTGTTCCACATGCGATCGCACAATAAAGGAAGTAATGCCGAGAGACCGTTCCGTTGTGATCTATGTCCCAAGGATTTCATGTGCAAAGGACACTTGGTATCACATAGAAGATCACATTCTGATGAGCGTCCACACAGTTGTCCTGATTGTGGCAAGACATTTGTCGAGAAAGGTAATATGCTTCGACATTTACGAAAACATGCCGCTGAAGGACCACCAACACAAGTAAGCACTCCCTCGGCTATTCCACAACCTGGAGTATTGCCAATTCCAACAGCTGCTGCTGCTGTTCTTGTTGGGCATCCCCTTGCGCCACCGGCGCCTTCCGTTGTACCTCAACATACCGTTGTTGTACCCACTCCTCCCGGTGTACTTGCTTCTTACTAATCAAACTTTTTTTAGTAAGCCATTTTTCTTTTATTTTTTAAGAAAAAGAAATTATCAACAATTTTTATACTGTAAAAAATTCCAATTATAACAAAAAAAAGAATTTATATTCAATATCCGATAATTTGCAGTATAATGCAAAATTATACCTGATATTCTCTTTAGTTTTTTCACTTTGAATTTTTTACAGTATAAATTTCAAATTTTAATTTTAAGACAGAATTTTTTTTTCTCAAGATATCAAAGTGATTTTAATTTTGTTGAGCTTCTAATTTTCAATTTGTTTTTTCTTTTATTTTAATTTCAAAATTAAATTCTAATTTTGTTTCATATTATAATTTATCAAAGTAGAAGAGATATACTTTGTAGCTTCCCTGTAGTAGAAGAGAAAAACATTTTTAAATGCGAGATTATTGTTTGCTGTTATTCTTAAAAAGTAAGGCAATCAATTTAAAGTCGAGACCTTGTAACCAAATACTATATATCAATCAAGAAAATCCTCGGCTTTTAGTTTTCACTATAACCGGGATTTGTTAGATGCTTTATTAAGAATTATGAAAAAAAAACTTTGTAAGAAACCTTTTTACAGCTAAGAGTCCAATTTCAAATAGAAAGAAAAAAAAAAGAGTTCTTTGTTGAGACTTTTAAGATGACAGTGATCGCGCACTGATGACTGATTTTTACGTCAATAAGATTTTTAGATAAAAAAAAAAAAAAAACATCTTATGCACAATCTCTTGCTTCCAGGAAACCCGATCGAAATCTTTAAACCTAATTGTTATTCTTTTACTTTAAAAATAATTTTTCTCATATTTAAATTTTTGAAATAGATTTCGATCGATGTTTCGATTGGTTCTTTTTTTTTAATCAACGTTTAACCAGTTAACTTTTTAAAGAAAAAATCGCTTTTATTCTATGGTGTCTTTAGATTTAACCAAAAAAAAAAAAAGAAAGAATAAAAAACAAATGTAAATCGTAGAATAAGTGTCACGTGTTTCCACGTGAATTTACTTTTACACTTTTTGATTAGCGCGAAAAAATACCGTGCGTTATTATAAATGCTAAAAAGTAATAATAATTTTTGAAGAAGTGTAATAATTAAAAAGTGGTAAATGATGTCAAAAAAAGAAAAAAAAATACAATTTCCTCTCTAATTGACCGGCTGGCTTGATGGTGTAGATATTTAGATACCAATTGTCAGATTAAGTGTATAATGGAAAAAAAGAACACTTTCTCTAGACGTATATAAATGTTCGAGTGCAATACGGCTCCAGCCGCTTTCGCGTTTTTACCACAAATCTGGTAAATTTAACCAGTTCCGATACCCGTGATTAACCAGCACTCGGCTCCGATTTTGTGTATCGGTAATTTATTGAGATTTCAAGTTTTCGCAGTTTAAAAAATTAGTTCTTATTACAATTTTAGTTGTTTTAAATTATGTATACAGATTGGGTAATTAATTGATCAGATTTGAACAAAAAAAAAAAAATGAAATTTTTATAAAGTAAAAGTCAAATAATAAATAACTTTGTTTAAACAAGTTTAAAAAAAAAATTGTCAAGTAATTAATTTTATTTTAATTTTACCAATTGCACGTATTTTTTTATAAACATAATTATGATTTCGTTTCTTGCTTGAAAAAAGTTTTACTTTTTAAAAAAACTGCGAAAAACAAGAACTCAACACAACAACTGTAGAAAACATATTAAGGCCATGTATTTCATATACAATAGAGTATAAGAAAAACCAGTAATGAAATGCATATACGATATGCTTGATAGAGAACATTTTTATGATATCCAATAAGATTGTGATTGTCACACTATTCAGTTATGTATAGGTATATTATAACAATCAAATAATGTACGATAATTTTATGAATAATTCTGAAAATAGATGTGGGGCTGATTTTATTATCGATATGTATGTGGGTGTGTGTGTATGTACACATCACATGGGATTTGCGTGCGTTTACGATGTTCAACACCCAATAGACGTCTAGGTTCAATATAAATATATATATCAATGAATATTACTAAATATATTCGGAAAAAAGTAGCAACAGTGTACGCCTTAGCGGTATTTTTAAGTGATTGACTAAAAAAAAAAAAGAAAGAAAAAAACTTAATACCGCCAAGGCGAACAAAATGTAGTTAACACCGACTGTGTTACATATAATGGGGAACACGTAAATCCTTATTACGTTCTAGGAAAAGAGGAATTACACGGGCACGTAGAACATTGTATTCAGACAAATATTATATAAATAAAAAAAAAAGAGAGATATATTATATATAAATATATATAAAAATATGTATACGCTTGTATACATTACGCATATACCGCATTATACAGATTGAAATAAAAAAAAAGCTCTTGCAGCGATTAACACAAGAAAAGGGAATAAATAAAGTTTATATGAATTATTATTATTATATTATGAATAATATAAGTTACGAGAGTAACATTTAAGAGTTGGTTTTATGCTTTTAAAAAAGAAAGATTTTGTTTCAAAGCTTGTTTTTTTTAAAAAAAAAACAAGTTTTAAATCAAATCCTTATTAATTCTAAGTCAAAGCGATTTTTTGTCAATATAAAATTTTTGTTTCTTGTGAATTTCTAAATTTAATTCAATATTTTTGAATGTTTCATTGCAATGAAATGATAAAAAGAGGAGAATTTATAAAACGCTTTGACTCAGAATCAAAACAGCAAGGGACAGATACAAAATATGATTTACCTATAGATAGAAAAAGATATGTATAGAATTTTATTATGCACCATTGTAATATTATGTATCCCAGTTTTGACACAATATACACTGGTGTTATGTTATATGTGAGAAAAATGTGTTATTTATTAATCCTTATCCCTATTTTCAAATTAAATTCTCTATTGTTAATGCATAAATGGTTAAAAAATTAACAAGATGGTAAAAATTTTGAAAAATAAAAATGTAAAAAATTACCGACATAGAAATCTACCTTACCGACTGATCGTAAAACAGGTTTTTTGAAAAATGAAAATATAAAAAATTACCGACACAGAAATCTACCTTACCGACTGATGGTAAAACAGTTTTTTTGAAAAATGAAAATATAAAAAATTACCGACACAGAAATCTACCTTACCGACTGATGGTAAAACAGTTTTTTTGAAAAATGAAAATATAAAAAATTACCGACACAGAAATCTACCTTACCGACTGATGGTAAAACAGTTTTTTTTGAAAAATGAAAATATAAAAAATTACCGACACAGAAATCTACCTTACCGACTGATGGTAAAACAGTTTTTTGAAAAATGAAAATATAAAAAATTACCGACACAGAAATCTACATTACCGACTGATGGTAAATTTTTTTTATGAATTTTTAAAACTGCTTTACCATCAGTCGGTAAGGTAGATTTCTGTGTCGGTAATTTTTTATATTTTCATTTTTCAAAAAAACCTGTTTTACCATCAGTCGGTAAGGTAGATTTCTGTGTCGGTAATTTTTTATATTTTCATTTTTCAAAAAACCTGTTTTACCATCAGTCGGTAATGTAGATTTCTGTGTCGGTAATTTTTTATATTTTCATTTTTCAAAAAAACTTTTACCAGCAGTCGGTAAGGTAGATTTCTGTGTCGGTAATTTTTTATATTTTCATTTTTCAAAAAACCTGTTTTACCATCAGTCGGTAAGGTAGATTTCTGTGTCGGTAATTTTTTATATTTTCATTTTTCAAAAAAACTGTTTTACCAGCAGTCGGTAAGGTAGATTTCTATGTCGGTAATTTTTTATATTTTCAAAAAAAAACTGTTTTACCATCAGTCGGTAAGGTAGATTTCTGTGTCGGTAATTTTTTATATTTTCATTTTCAAAAAAAACTGTTTTACCATCAGTCGGTAAGGTAGATTTCTGTGTCGGTAATTTTTTATATTTTCATTTTTCAAAAAACCTGTTTTACCATCAGTCGGTAATGTAGATTTCTGTGTCGGTAATTTTTTATATTTTAATTTTTCTAAAAACCTGTTTTAGCATCAGTCGGTAAGGTAGATTTCTATGTCGATAATTTTTATATTTTCGTTTTTCTGAAAAATGTGTCTCATTAAATGTTTTTCTAATTTTAAATATGTAAAATTTTCTAATATACATAAAAATTATACTATAAAATTTTATTCATCTGAATTACTTGAAAAAGGAGTACAGGATTTAATTATTAAAAACTAACTTAAAACTATAATTTTACAAAAGTGTTTTTGTAATTTGGACATTTTATTAAAATATACATTTTCATCCAAAATACAAAAAAAAAGGAGACGTATATATGTACAATTGATGTTACCCGAATTGTTTTAAACGATTACCATAACTGTTATTAAAAAATATATAATTATATTATATAACCTGTTATTATAAAATTAAAATGTATTTCTAATAACAGATGAGATTTCAATAACATAAAGCAATATACCGCTTTTGACGAGTCACTGGATTGTGTTGACAATCTTTTTTTTTAAAAAAAACAACTTATATGAACACAAAATCGAGAAATCTTTAATTTCTACATTTTACTAATGTTTAAAAAAATTTTTTAATATAATTTTTCATTTTTTATACTTTAAATTAAAATATTAGATATGCTCAAGTTTATCGTAATAAATAATGTTTCTTATAATTTTTAAAAATATATTTATAAATAAATGAATACAGTCATTGCTGAAAGACCTTTTGTAATAAGGTTAATTATAATATTTGTCTAGAATAAAAATTGTTGCAGTAAAAAGTCGAATTTCTATAATTGACATTTTTTGTTTCTAAATAACAACTTTTATGTAATAAATCATTAATATAAATGAAATAAAAACAATTTATAATTTTTTTTATGTGTGCGAGTATCGACTTTTTACGTTAAAACGACAAATTTTAAATCTCAACATTAGATAATAAACAATTAAAAAAAACAATTGATCGTATTTCAGTTTACAGGATTTTATGAACATTTTACATAATACTAATAAATAATATTGTTACAATTTACTACCTAATTTAATATATTCGTGCAGTGACAATACAATTTGTTTCTAATTTTTATTTGGCGATAATTTTTTTGTGTGATAAATTTGAAGAGTAAATAAACATTTATGGATATACCTTTTTAAACTTGGGGTATAGTAATTTTTTTTTTTTGCAATCAGATATTTACAAAAGTTTACAATTAAATTTATCTATTGCAGATAGGGCGCTTTATTTTGTACTGGTTGCAATTTTTTTTTTTCTAAGGCACTCTTCAGGCATTCAACAAATGTATGTCCAAAAGAGTTAATTTTCTCTTAACGTATATGACAAAAAAGAAAAACCTACACAATTCAATCTTAAACATCTAACCGATTACATTTGTTTCACGTTAATTAAAATTAATAAAAATGTAACATTTTTAAGGACTCTGTAATTCGAATTTAAAAAATTGGCACAAATCTGTGATCGACAATTTTATTTCAAAAATAAGAATTAATTCCTGTTAAACATTTATTCAAATTTTAATTATTATCTAAAAGAAAATTTTAATTATGCATATTGTTGACTAATTCTGAAAAATATCGAATCCAGCAAATATCAGTCTTTATTTAGAATTTGTTTTTTAAAATGTTTTTTTTTTCGATTTAAAAAATTTTAACACCCGCCTTTTATTTAATCGAATCAATAACATAAAACTAAACTAACTTTATTTATTGTAAATTCATTAATATTGCCAATCGCAATTGTTACGAAAGATTTATTTCAGTGAAAAGTACATTATTCACTGAATAATACATAAAAACTAGAAAAATTCACCTAACAATTTGTGTCAGGTATATATAATATTTATCTTACGTATTCTTGCGATATGATTGATCACAGTTCTGGGCGCGATATAATTTTAGATTTATGACATGTAACAAATAAAAGACGATAAATTTTTTTTTTTTTTTTGTTAATTGATCAGCCTTGATAAAACCCCATTAACGCACGGAACACAAAAATAATATTTTATTTAATTGATCCAATTGAGCCGACTCTATCTATATCTAATTGTAAGTTCCTATTTTTCATTCAATAGAATCTTTTTATTAAATAATTACGGTTTAAATTAATATTAATTTACACGTTTATTTATAATTATCAGCTCAAAGAAGAGCATTTCCAACAAATCTTAGACCTAAAAGCGGACTATAATTCAAAAAAGAAAAAATGATCCGCATCACTCCATTATGAAATGACTTTAATTATTATTCATAAAAATTTGTATTTGTCGTGGCATAGTTCGCTGTGCACTTTTGTATAATCATGCTCATTACAAAAGTTTCTAATTTTATTCAATATTTTTGCAAAAATTCTAAAGCGAATTGTGTTAATTTTTTAAATTGTAAATTTTTATTATTTTTTTCCTTCAAAATAATTTACGAGAAATTTTTGTTGCTTTAAAAAAAAGTAGTCACAAGGTGATAGTTAAAGATTATTTCAGATTTCAACATTTTCAATTTCTAACAACCACCCTGAGACAATAGAATTATATTTTTGAAAGCAGATTAACGCGAAGCGACAAGTGCAATCGAACCGTAAGCATATTTTACGGTCATTTTCATGTTTTTTTTTTTTTTTATTTCTCCATTTAAGCCTGGTGCTTGTGTAAACATTCATTAGAGGCACGTAAAGTATTACTCCTTGAGTAAGAAAGGCAATGCTATGATATTCGTTGCGATATGGTATAGTATTTTTTTTTTAAACATTACGATTCCCGTAAGAATTCGATTGTTTTTTTTTCCGAAAATCGTTGGAAAGAGTTGATATGTTATTTTCCTGTATTTCTTTTATTGTCAATAAACTCTCTTTTATTATCATTCGAATTCTCATTATTACTGCTTCGATTCATATATATATTTATCGCTTTTGTCAATGATGTCGATCAAAAAAAAACTGATCTCTAAAACACCTGACAATATTATGCGAAAATCTTGTTTCATTAAATTTTTTGCACCGAGAGCACGTTTTTTTAATCCAAAATAAAAAAAACAAATATAACATTTACTTTAAAAACATGTTAAAAAAAAATAAATAGAAAAAAAAATTGAATATAAAACGGAAATAACTTTTTACAAATCGTATTCAACAGTAATTCATTCATGTACAAATACGCCAATAAACAGAGAGCTTTAAAAATTAAATATTTACCTAAGACAATACAACATATTATTGAAATATTAAAAAATTTCTATTATTTTTCCTCAATAATGAAATTGATCTCATATTATTAGCGTCAAAGTACATAAGAAATAACTTTTATAAAAATGTTCAATTCGTGACTGTTATTTTGTTTAAACTAAAAGAAAAATTTTTTTAAAATTGCAGCGCCATTAACAGTCGAAATTATTTAATTTTTAACGCAATTTCTATTTTGCATGTAATGAAATGCAGATACGTACCCAAGTAAGCAGAAAAATTTCCATATTCCTTTCCATTGTACGTATGATTTCAAATTTACCAATTTATGATTGAAATCTATTTTCAGAAAATATTAATTATTTTCTATTAATTTACTATATAGATTAAAAAAATATTTTTTTTGATAATTTTAAGATCGATGAAAATGCTTAACTAATTATAGATTATATTACAAAATATAAAATTTTCATTAAAGAATAAAAAGTACAAACCTATTCAACGGCAAATCCACATGTTTCTTCAACTGCCTGTGTAAGTTTGTCGAGCATCTTTTGATAACATGGATAACTCTGGGGAATATCGATTCGATTGAAACAAGTGTGTGCTTTCGGTAAATTTTCACTAGGTGCGTCTACCGCGTGAATTGTGAAAAGACGGGGTCCAGCGGCTCCAGTAGATCCTTCAAAAAATAAAGATACATAACCCATTAGTTACTAAATTATTAGAATTTTGTATCATAAGTTTTTAGAAAAATCAAATTAGAATTAAAAACATTTTATCAAAATTAATTAAAAAAAAAAATATTACCTTGTAAAGCCTTGAAGCCTTGGAGTGGAACTCGTGAGCTTCCAGTGACAAATTGCAACAGTCTTGCTCTCATTTCCTCGCTGTAGGATTCGACTATTTGCCAAAACCATTTAACAACAGGTGTATCGGGCGTACAATGCTTTAGTCTTGTATGAGTTTTCCAATCATTAATATCGATAGTACCTAATCCACCAATAACCAATTCAAGTTCCCTTTCATCAAACGGTCTTAATAATTGTGGCGGTATTAATTCATGAAATCCTTTATGCAAAGCTAAAAATTGCTGCTCGATTCCTCTCATAAAACGATAATTCACATATAAACGAACGTATTCTTTTTTATTGTCCTCTGTCACCGTCATCTCTTTACCACCAGGTTTTAGCTCGTGATTTCGTAAAACTCCAAAACTACTGTGCTCAACAGAAAATGACGCGTCCAAAACACCGTCAATACTGTTTTCTCTGTAAATGATAAACAATTTAAAAATAAATTTGAATTAGAATTAATTTTTTCTATAAGAATTAAACTTACAGCATCCAAGTGAGACTTCTGTGAAGATCAGGATCAACGCCTTCAATATCACTGAGTGTGATTGCTTTGTTAAGCAGCATTTTATAAAAAGGCGTTGTAAATCCTCCGTCTATATGATGACCGTGAAAAACAGCGATACCAATTATTCTCCCGGCAAAATGAAAATAAGACAAATGCTCCGGATTAATACCCGAGTCAGCATTAATTTGCAATGTATAATTATCATCTCTTGAATATTGAAAGAGTCCATATTGTGGATTTAACATTTCATGAGAGAGTAAATATAGCCATTCACGGGCAACACCACCATAATCAAGACCCTCTTCACCGCGAAATTTCACCATAAGTCTTTTTCTCATATCTTTGGGACGCATCTTCATTATTAACCTGTAGGACTCTTCAAATATTTCATTCCTTGATACTTCCAATCTACAGTGACCGCTTTGTGGTTGTAAAGCATTTAATTCAGCTCTTAAACACTTTAATTTTGCTACAAGATCTCTTTTATACTTGGGTAATAATTCACTTTCCATTAATTCTTTCGGTAAATCGGATATTGTCTGTTGTACCGGTAAACTTTCAGTAATGGAATTATTATTGCTCACTGGTTCAACTCTTGGTCTTGGTTGATTTGTATTTGGTGGTGATGTTGTTTGTGTGGGTGATGAATTACCAACTGTTTCAGTTCTTGTGCTTGAATTACTCGTATTGTTAACTTGTGTTGTTCCAACATTCAGCCTTTTTAATATATTATTAATTATCTGAGTTGAGAGTCTAGGGTCTGTGAACTGTGTTGTTCTATTGTTATGATCGACAAAATAGACTCTTCCGCTTTGTGTTTGGCGCATTTCCCAACCGCTTGGGAGAGGGCCGAGATCCAATTCGTTGGCTGATAAATCGCGAGGAATCCGTGGATCATGCCATGTTGATGATCCGGTTGGTACGTGATAGAAATAAACTTGTCCTTGTTGCGTTTTTCTCATTTCTGTGAAAAGAAGTTTCATTAAACTCTTGAAGAATTTAAAAAATAAAATTAAAAGTACATACCATATCCACGGGGTAAATCTAATGGTTGCACGTCACTTCTCCTTTCACCGTTAATAAATCCACTGTTACGATTACGATTAGTTCGATTAGGCCTTCGGGGTTGATTTGTATTTGTGGAAGGACGTTCAACTCTTACATTTCCATTTGGATTTCCATTTTGTTCATCATTAGGTCGAGGTGGCGGTGGTCTTCTTTCTCTAACCGAAGAAGAAGGTGGCGTGTTTCGTGTATTCTGTTGACTCGGAGTTTGCTGTTGCGTTGGCGTATTTTGTGCAGAATTTTCTCTACTCGGAGTTCTGTTTGGAGTTCCTTCTCGATTTGGAGTTGTATTCCACTCGGCTGATTGCCTTGAAGGACTCTCGCTGTGGGCGTTTAAAGGACTGCTTGTACTGCCGCCAGAGAATGTTTCAGAGCAAATTACAGGCGGTGGTTCAGGTGTTGTTGGTATAATATTATTGCTAGCTCTGAAAAATTATAAATTATAATTATAATTATTAAATTTTATAAACTATAAAAAAAAAAAAATTACCTGGCTGTTGGACGAATCCACTGTGTAGTTCTCGTGTAATGATTAACGTAATAGAGTCTACCAGTTGGAGTTCGTTGTTCTTCCCATCCATCGGGAAGATCTGTGGGACAACTCAAATCGCCAAGTACATCTACAACTGCATTATGCCCGACAGTATTACTCACTGCGCCATTGTGACCATCGCGCGACAACAGTGAAACTACAATTTGACCTTTGACGACGTCAGTGTCATCAACATGAGCTTTGCAAAGATCCAATCGTTGATCTAAAGTTACAAAATTAGAAAGAGATTTTAATACCAATGAAATAATATTTAAAAATAGAAAATATATATATATAAATAATAATTACATCCTGTATCTTTGAGCCTCTGAATAGTATTGCATAATATTCGAACACATCCAAGAAATCCACCACCTTGTTTTTTGTGTATTTTTCTGTGATTCCATACTGAGATGGTGATTCCATCATTTTTACCCAAGTATCTGCATTGTAAAAAATCATTTTTAATTTATTTTTATTTATTATAAAAAAAAATTTTTAAATGAGAAAAAGTTTAAATCACTTACAAATCGTAATGTTGATTCCATTTTGGATCGAGAGTAGCTTTGCACGTATCGGTACTGTGGCATTGTCCAGAACCATCGACTGTGATTTTGGCAAAAGGATCAGGGAGACCTAAAAAAAAAAAGAAAATTCAATAATTGTTTTTAATATTATATTCTAAATATTCAACTGATATTGAAAATATGTGTCTAAATTTATAATTACAATTTACATAATAAAATTGTGAATTTATAATTACAATTTACATAATAAAATTGTAAATTTTGAATAAACAATTTATGCGTAATGTATAAAAAAAAATAGAGACAATTCACTCATTATAAATATTATCTTATTTAAATGGACTTAATCTGACATTCCTTCGTGAAAAACACAAGAAAATGCAATTATTTATGTATGTAAAAGCAATAGATTTTTTTCATTGATATATATTCAAACAATATATGTATAATAAATGTATAAGATAAAAAAAAAATATTTTTGTATAAAAATATAAAATAACATAAAAAATGTTCTCTTATTATTAGTTAGGCTTTTCACGTTATCTAATTTAAACATTTAAATTGTTAAATATTGATAATACTTACGAAAGAGATCTTTCCTTGCGAGATTACGGGCACACAATACTGAAAAAAAAGAAATAAAAATATATTTTTATACAATACAATTTAAATCTATATTTAAAATGACAAATCTAATGAATAGAATTTACATTTTCAGTAAACAATAATTCGTTTTGAATGAAAGATTCTTTAAATGACTAATTGTTTTCAATAAACAAGGTTTAATATATGATTCCTTCCCCAAGTGATTTTAATCTAAATGAAAATAATTAAAATTTGCATAAATCTTTAATTTAATTTATCGAATTCAAATGAACTCATTTATTTTTAAATATTAAATAATTAATCGGAGTGAGATAAACATAATTATCATATATAGGAAAAAATAAATGCCAAGAAAAGACAATATTTTGTTTTTTTAATTTCAAAAAAACAATTCTTTCTAAATAAAATAAAAATCAAGAATCAAACTCTAAACTACTTTTGGTCTTTTATTTGTCTTGCCAAGTAACAATTGAAACAAAATCTAAATATGCGGGTACTTAGTTATGTTAATTATTGTCAGTGTCAAACCGAACATAAATTTTATTAACACTTGAAATAACAAAAATTCTAACAAAAAAAATATAACTATTTATATTTTGTACTCAATATATATGTATATATATATACATATATATTCAATGTTCCTAATCCTTTTTTAGTTGTACTTTCCAAACGCCTTTTTTTAATTGCACAATTCCATAAATGTATATGGAGAATAGGAATTATGTCTTTACAAAATACCGAATAATGAGAAATTATACAACTATGCGAGAGTACAGTAATTTTTAAGATGAAAACTGTATCATAATTGTCTAAGATTATTTTTGATGTAAAGTCTAAAGTGCTGTCAGGGAGTTGCCATAACCAACGGACGGTGTCCATAGGCGGCCATTAAGGAATCTCTTGAGACTTGCTCAGAATTTTTACAAGTCCAAATGAAATGTATACCTGATCTCAAACAATGGACAGGTAAAGGGATTTCTATTGTGGTGATAATAATGAGGCCATATTAAATAATAAGTAGCTATAAATGGTATATTGTGCTTAATGATTACGATGCTTTTGCCAACTTTCACGGTTCAGTAATGTTACAATTTTTTCGGTTTACTTACTTGTTAATCGGATCTTCATCGACCCAATCCTCCTACTACCGCCAGGATTCGACATTTTTCACAAACATTTAACAATTTGATTAACACATCGGCTTTTTTAATTAGTAAATAAATGTGTCTCTTTAACTGCGATGTGCCCCCATACATGCAAATACGATTGACTACAATCCCCCCACTCACGCATACAAACATAATAAATAAATAATCGTCTCTGTCGGTAATGTCGAATGAATTATCGACTGCTAAATCGTGGCGCGAAATTTCAAACGAAGTCTTCACAAATCTGAAAAGAAATAAAAACATAAATAAATAATTTGAGGAATAGTTATCTATAATAAAAATAATATTATTTTAAAATACGACTAAATAAGAAAATTAATTACGTTACTGAACAAAGAAATTTTATTAAATTAGATTTTTCTTCAAAAAATACACAAGATATTAAATATTCTAATTATGTTTCTTAAATATAACAGCAATACAAAATTTATAAATAAGATAAATAAATTTCACGATTTTTTAATGTGTATAACAGTCATAAGCTAAGTCATCTTCTATTTCTACACATTTATTTATATATATATATATGTGCGCAGTAGAAAAAAAATTCTGCTTTGTAAGCAGAGAGTGTTAAGCAAACAGTTACTGAACTGAATGATATTCCGCAGAGGCATATTAATGTTGAACTTTCACAAAAATGTTACAATTTATAATGACAAATGAATTCGTGAAATTAGCCTAAATATACGAACATTATATTATTTATCTTAACTTAATAAAAAGGGACTCTCTCAATATTATATAAGGCATTTTTTTTTTTTTTTTTTTGAGTATTTTGTACTTTTGACGTATTTTGTCTCAGGTAAATTCTTAACAATTAAGAAACATTAGAAAAATATAATAAATATTTTATCAAATATACGCGTGTACAAAAAAAAATATCTGTGCAAATTTAACGATATTTAAACATGAATCTCAATTGACAATATTGTAATTAAATATTTGTAAAGTGCAAAACTTTTTTTTCTAAGCACCATTAAGTAATTAATTTTCATTTTGTCGTTCGCAAATATAGAATAGAGTATTAAGTCTTCTTTTTTTTTTAATAGTAGAAAAATTAATAAATATAAAATATACATTTTTGTTAACATAATGTAAAGTTGGACTTGATGGCAATTTATACAGAGTGCAATGAAAAGAAACTTACAATTGATTTAAATAATCAGTTACTTGATTAATTGATCAAATTATTATATTTATAAAACAAAGTTTATTTGTAATATAATTTAATGTGAACTGATTATTTGAATCGAATTAATTTTTTCAATTTATATATATATATTTTTTGCAACTCTAAATGAGTTTAACGACTTGTTTTTAAATAGTCTCGAGCAGTCCCTTATGAGAAATAAAAAAAAAATTATTTAAGCTTCTCCTCTAAATGTGAGGAATGCATCAAAAAGGAACAAAACACCTTCAACGATTGCCATTGATCCTTTAGCAATGCCTGTATCTTTGTGAGATTTGCTGAAGCCAAAGATATTAGAGAATGCATTGATATTTAAAATTCCAATCACCATGAATAGTGCACATCCAATGACACTATAAAATAAATCCTGGAAGAAAAATTAAAAATTAATTAAAATTTTTTTTTTTTTATTGAAATAAAGCAATATTTACCACTCGGCGATTGACTGGAGTGCTCATAAGACCTCCAGCGAATAATCCGACTAAAATTATAAGATAGCCTCCTATGGTGCCCATTGTTAAGAAGCGAATATGCTGTTGGAATCCAACATCGTCAGAATAACAATGCAATATCAAGAGGATAATTACCACTGCCTAAAAAAAATTAAAATCAATAGTTAATGTTATAAAAAAAAAAAGTTTTTTTTTCTCTTTAAAAATATAATAAAATTGATTTATTAATGAATAATTCATTGATTAAAATTTAATTTTATTATTTTTATAAAAAAAAAAAAATGTAAACAGTGGGTAAAAATGAAAGAGGTCAATAAAACGAGAACATCTACTTTACTAATATTCGCATATAATGAATAATCAATTACAATAGGTGAGTGCTCTAGTTGTAAATAGTTCGTCTTTCAAGTAATCTATTGACCCAAGTTAAGGTATAAGTGGTTTTAATCGATTTGAGTAATAATCGTATATACATTGTAATAATAAAAATATTTTAAGTAACATAAAGTCATTTCTTTTTTTTTATTTCAATTTTACACTTTGTAGAAATATATATTTTGCAATTAACATCCTTGAGTAAGCTTTATACAATTTGTATAATTAAGACATATATGATATGTGAGTAGCATTTCATAATATGGACAAGGATTATATCATGTCCATTTTTAAAAATCATTCTCTGCAATAGTCAACTATGTGACATATCTTATCTTATTTTCAATGTTAAATTTCTTTGAAATTCAGATGATTCACTAATTTTTTTTTTAAAATTGTAATTGTGTAAATGAATCTCTACAATTTTAATTATAGATTTATTTTTTAAAAATTTATTTTTTAATTTATTTTTTTTTTTACATTTTTAAATATGCATAATTTGCAAAAATTAAATTTCTACTTTTTTAAATAAGATTTTTTATACTCACAAGTTCTAGAAATTTAATTAACGAGAGCCTCGAAACAGACACCATTTTCAATTATCTGTAAAAAAAAATAATTAATTATTATTTAAAATGAAGGAAAAAATTTAAATGCAATAACAATGATTTAAATATAAGAAACAATCAGAATGTATGTTTTTATTAAAAAATAGAATTATCTTCCCCGCAAGTAAAATGCTTTCAAGACCCCTGCAGGAAGTAATAACTCTTTATTACAAGGGTATAAAAGAAAAAAATTTAATGAAGCACAAAGTCATAACTTGCAATTACTAAAAATTTTATTTTAAATTAAAATTTACGGAGTATGATTAATCAAAATGAAATTCATATTTAAAAAAATTTTTTTGTAAATTTCAATTTTTTAAAATCTTTTTATAAATAAATGAATATACAAAAAGGGATAAAAGAAACTTATAATTGAATAAATTTGATTAAATCGCGCCATTTGAATAAAGTTCCTTAAAATCTATTCTATAAAATTCCAAAGAATAATTACAATCATGATAAGTAATAAGAAATTATGTCAGCAGAATCGTCACTGTTTTTATTTTTAACAAAATGACGAATCGCGTGCATGATTAAATTTATGAATAAATTATTCTGGATTTTTTTTTTATCATGAAAGGTTTCGACCTTTCATTCGAAGATCGAGAGATTTTTAACTTTTTTTGCCTTCAAAAAAAAAAATTTCCATTTTTCAGGGAAAATCGATACTAGCGAGTTTAATTTAATGGAATAAACAGATGTTTTGCGTGAGATCAGCATCTAACACTAATTTTATATTTTATAGTTTCTTTTGAATATAGTTTTCAATTATTCGAGAAAACTGAATTTAGTTTTCTATGAAAAAAAATTTTTTTTATTTAATTCAAAATTAAAAATTTCTTTAAGTATATAATTATTTAAGAGTAGGAAATTACTCTAAAAGTGTGCTGTAATTCACAATGTGCATCATATTATTGTAATAATCAATGAATGTGTAAACGCTATAAGAAATTGAAGGCTAGATCAATTTAATGTTTGCTATTTGACTAAAATAAGTGATCAATGTTATTTTCACTCCCAATGAGTCAGAGAAACAGGCTTACAAAGTGCAGGTTTAGTTTTGACCCAGATTTCTTTTTTATTCACCATGCCATCTTCTTCCGATCCTAACTTTTTATATATAAATCTAAGAAAACCAAAAAAAAAAAAAAAAAAAAATTAATAAAATTTACGATGAAAGAAAAACTCAATTTTTTCCCTACATTGTTGTAATTTTATAGTTTTTAATTAATAAAATTTAACGATTATTAAATTAAATATCACACTAATTTAAAAGTATCCAATTGATACCAAAAATATTAAATTGATATTAATTTAATATTTTCAATTTCAATTTAATATTTCAATTTGATAATTTTAAAAATGAATTTCTTTTTTTTAATTTGAATTGTAAAAATAATTTAATTTGTAATTGGAGAAGTTGGGTCAATAGGACGGATAAAAAAATTGACCATGGGATAACCAAACATAGAAAATGTGTACAAATTCTCAAATGATGTTGAATATGATATTTTTTGTTTTTCATTCGATGTAATCGTTTAAATGAAACCCACACTGGGATTAATAAACGATAGCAAAAGTACACATATTATCGCAAGCAAATATGATTCATTGAGAATTTAAAATCCACATTATGAAACAAATTGTATATATATACTTTTAGCGAAAAAAAAAAAAAATATTTTCATTTTTTTTTAAATCAAGGTCTATATATGTCATCCCGCGATGAAAATCACAAACATCTTTAACATCAATCAATTCGTAGTTAAACCTTGAAATTTAATTTGTTCTCCTTTCAAGGAGCAATGATAACTACCGGAACTACTATATTTAAGTATGTGATAATACAACGCACCTATTTCATTCGATTTTATAATATTAATGACATTTTATCACGGAATTGAAAATTAAGAGGCTTTCATTAAAAAAATATTAATATTCTAAATATAATTTATTCTTTATGGATTTTCATTTTTAGATTTGAAAAGAACTTTTTTTTGACGCACAATACGGATATTCAAAATTCAAATTATTTCTATAATATTTTCTAGAAAATTAATTTATTGTAAAAATATTTTTTTTACTCAAAATATTCTCTAAAAAAATATAATTCCTCCTTCCAAGAGGAAAAATGAGAAATTAACAAAAAGTTACGGGAAAACTATATATATACAAGAAAATGACGCTTCAAATTTGTAAATTGAATCTGGCGTCCTAATTTTTCTGCGTCGTACATGTGTGTATATGTCTACGCCCTGTTTTCTTTATGGAGATAAATGTAAAAATATGAAATCTTGAAAAAAAAAAATTTTTTTCATTCAACAATTGTGTAATAAAATTGAAACTTTAAAATTCATTACTGAATTATTGAAGGAATAGAAAATCGTAAAATACACCGGCCAGTGATAAAAACAACTTTTGTTTACATGTTTCATAAATGGGAAATTCAACAAGTACATTAAACATTAAAAAAAAAGAACTATTTGCGATAAGAAAAAATTACAATTTAAATTATTAAATTTTAATTAGTTATTTTATTATTGTTAACTTACGTTATTTGAATTTTTTTTTGTTTTTGAATGAATGAATGCGTAAATACGTCCTGCGCTGATAGTACTCTGCGTTCAACACAAAAGCACGATCGCAACTGAAAGACTACTAACGGCGTCCCCACTTTCCAACTGAATTCTGTTTCCATTCTATAAAAGATCTTTTTACGAGGGGCATAAAAATACAACTTGATTATAATAAATTAATTTCTAAAGATACAATTAAATTATATTTAAATTAAATGAATTAAAATTTAATTAAAATTTAATTAAAATTAAAAATTATAGTAACTATAATAATTTTTTTATATATAGTATTAAAAAAAGAAATTTTTTTCTGGTCCATTGATCTTTCTTTAAAGACTTAAAACTTTATCTTAGTTCCTACGCCATTGAGTCGATTGAAAATATCATATACCTTTTGTACTACTGTGTATATTGTTAGAAGCTACCATTCATATAACATACATCAACAATTACAAAAATATGTCCCTGGCTATAATTCTCAAAAAAAATTAATTTAGTTTATAAAATAGAATAATTTTAATTATATTATTAATTTTTTTTTTTAATTTAAGAAAAATCTCTTAATTTGAGAGGAATACTTTACTGATTCCTACGCAAGTGAAAATAACTATTATTTTTGTACTGCTATAATAATAGAATTTATTTGTTTCCTTGAATGTACAAAAAAAACCAGCCCAGTTGGTAAAAATAAATATATTTTTTAAAATGAAAATCTAAAATTTTTGGAATTAAATAAATTTTTTGAATAAAAATTAGATATTTTTTTGTGTTGAAAATTTGTAATAATAATGTTATTAATAATGTTTTGTCAATAAATGATTGCATCTACTGATTAAATAATAATTAGTAATACCACTATTTATACCAAATGATAATATTTCTCGAAATTGACTATTTAAAAAAAAGAATTATTCTCTACAATATTGCTATATGACACAAAGATGATTTCATTAAAATACAATATACACGAAAAAAAAAAAATGTATACCGTCAACAATTTATAATGTGTCAGGTATAAATTACGTCACTTTTGTTAATAAATATTACTCTCGCATTAATTATTCCCATGTTTATACATTCCCAGAATTCACATATTTCAACTTTTGCCTTACAGAAACAACCAAAACTTCTCTTTAATTTACAGATTGCCCGTTATTCTCAAAAAAAAAAAATTGTTTCCGGTAGTATATAAAGACACTTCAAAAGAACCGCATTTTACAAATGCTCTTTATTTACACAGTTCTATAAAAATTATATTCTCTCTTTCTTATAGAAAAAAATATAATTTTTTCTTAATTATTTTTCCCTACGAAAAAAATTTTTTTTTTCTATTATCAGAGATGAAAAAATTAAATCAGAATCAATTTTGCAAACTGATTTTTTTTTGCAAAATTGAATTAGTATGTAAAATTCTGTGATAATTAATACACTGAAAAAAAAATTTATTTGATTCAAATAAAATTGATTTGGTTATTATCAAATAAATATTTACTTGAATCAAATATTTCTTATTTGAAGCAAATATATACAGTATTTGAATCAATTATTTCAGTATTTGAAGCAAATACCATTTATTTGATTCAAATTAAGAAATATTTGATTCAAGTAAATATTTATTTGATAATACCTGTATTTGAATAAAATAAATAATTTTTTTTTTTTAATAATTTTTTTTCAGTGTATTGTCAAATTATATATAATTTAATATTAATAAATTTAGTTTTTATACTTTTATTTCGATCTTGAAAGAATTTCCCTTTAAATAATTATTCTAAATATACTTTATTTGAGGACAAAAAAAGATTTGCGCCTGTTGAATTTAAAACGATATTTTTGTATGCAGTTACTTAAGTTGGATAAAAATAATATATATACTACACAGAAGAACATCCACTTCCTGAATATCATTTTTCAAGTGCATTCTTGATACTATCATACTATATAGTTATCAAATATTAAAATGTGAAAAATTCTCTTCTCTCTTCACATTACGTGTATAATTTGAAATTCGTGATTTGGCCTTTTTGATTTGTGTTTATTTTTCCAATAATTGTAACAATCAACAAAACAACAATAAAGAATTATTGAATCTTTATCCGAATTAAAATTTTGATTCTAAAAATTAAAAAAAAGTAATTTAATTTTTTAACAATAATTAAATAACTATTTTTGTTAATATTTAAAAAAAACATTCATTTTTTTAAATTATGGGAAAAAATGATAGATTTCTATTTTATCAAGAAATGGTAATCAACAGAGTAAAATAATTCCTCGTCGAATCATCAACAGATGGCAGAAGAGTTCAAAAAATTTGAAATTTATAAGATAAATATGTTAATTTTTTTTTTTAAGTGTTGTGAACATTGAGAAAATTATTTCTCAATATTTTTAAAAATTCAGTTAACTGTATATAGCTAATTATAATAAAATTACTTGTAAAGCGGCTTCGAAACGAGATGGTAAATTCTCTAGGGCGGCAATAGAATAAGACATTTCAATACTTTCCATTTCTTGTTTTTCACTTTCTTCCTCAGATTTGTTAGATTGACTTGAATTTAATTCTGAAGACGAGGAAGATTTGTTGCTCACGGAATAAGATAACTCATTTATTTCTTCTTTCCTTATCTTTGAAATTAGAAATAAAAAACAGAAATGCTACTATTAATATTTCAAAAATTTGTCTTAAATTTTTTTTTTAAATCTTTTAATTTAATTTTATTAATTATAATAATCAAAATTTACCATTTTCCAATAATCAAATAATATCCAAAATTGAATAAAATAAATAATCATGCCTAATATTGAAATAATACAAAGAACAAAATTATGAATAAAAATTGGATGATTCAATAATTCTTCATCAGATACTTCATTGAGATTAATATGATTTTCGGCATGTCGCATAGCAGAAATCCCGCCTAGTAACATCAAAACTCCTCCAATGCCGCAACCGACAATAGCCTTTAAAGGTTTTATGACACTAAAATATAACAACTAAAAAAAACATTTCATCTCTTTGTTAGAAAAAAAAAAAAAAAAACAAAGATTTGACATTCAATTTATTTTATACTGATATTGAAATTGAAAAAATAGGTTTTATTTGGAAAATAAAATTGCGGAAAATAAATGGCAAAACTCACGATTAATGAATGTCGAGTGAAAAATTTTGTAAAAAACCACAAGAAACTGAAGACAAAACTAATAATCATGCAAATAATATAAATGAAGAAAATTGGATTTCTCTCTCCCGGTAAATCTGCAAGTGTCGGATCATTTTTTTGACGAATATGATGAATTGCGTGATGCACGTGATGAAAAGTCTCATCCATTAAAGCTATGATCTAATTATTGTAAAAATTGTTTATAAAAATCTCTCATTTAAAAAAAAATTTGAAGACGATGACGATTCAAAATCGTATTTTTTTTCTTCTGAAAATGCGACCTAATTTCGAAATTGTCTTATAATTTTTTTTCTCGAATAAAAATTATTTATCTTATCTTTAATTTAAAGTTTATTTATTTTTCATTAATGTATTCGGTTACAAATTCCTCTTTTCTACATATTCTGATTTTATAAACAAAAAAAAAAACAAAAGAATTCACTATTTAAATAAGCACTTATGAATAAAGAAAGAAAAAACATTTTGTTCTAGTTTTTAATCTCTTATTAAATTTCAACAAAATGTAAAACTGTGTCAGATTGAAGCAAAAAAAAAAAAAAAAATTGAAGAATATTTTATTACTTTTTTCTTTTAATTAATTAACCGTTATTGATATTGAAAAATTAAAAAAAGATAGAGAAAAAATTTTTCTTACAAATTGTGCAAAATTGAAAGTGCCATGTACAATGTGAGATAGATTTGTATTTCTAGTGAACAGTGGATCTCCTTTATGATAAATGTTGGCAATTTTAGCTGCTTCTTGCAGCTGAAGAAGTTCCACGGCCGACGCATCAGCGATTGAAGGCCTTCTATTTTCTTCAACTTTCATTTATAGGTCCATAAAGATTGTTGATCTTTTATGTGAAAAGTTAACAGTTTCAAACACACTTAACCTTGCCAACTGACATGAGAGAATGCGAACAGAATTTGTTTTTGTTTGTTTTTAAATATGCATTTCTTTTCTTTAGTTGAAATTTCAATTACATACAAAATCAATTATAATACCGCAAACTTTCGAACCGGATAAGAAAATTTTCCTAAATAAAATCAAAAAAAAAATCAATAACCGATTAAAAACCTGAAGTTTGCTTTAAGTTGTTTTTTTTAAATTTTTGGTTATTATTTAGTAGAGGGACATATTTTTATTTAAAATACCAAGTAGTTATATATGCTTCAAAGTTTAAATCAATGCAGATGTTTGCAACTAAAATAACGACCCTAATAAGTAAGTCGTCTTGAGATTGCCTTTCTCTTTTGCAGTGCTTAATTAATTACACTCGCTTTAAAGCATCACACATCTAGAAGGAATCATGAATATTATATTTCTGACGCCAATTCCTTTTTAATATCACCCAAGAATTATAAATCCACTCCAAGTTGGTTTAAACCAAAAAAAAAAATAGCTTTATCAAGATTAAAAGAAAAATTCAGTGGCGAATCTTAATCTTCATTTTGAAAGAAAATAAAATAATATACCAATAAAAAAATTTTTTAAATTTTACATAAAAAAATATTTCAACATTTCCCTGTTTATTTGAAAATTTTTTATAATATATAAAAAAAAAATTGAATAACAAAATTTTTAGAGAAAGGAAATACTGAAAAAAAATTGATCAATCATTTGATTTTTCTTGTATATATATGAAAGCAACATTTATAACGTGCTGGGTTTAGCTTCGCCATCAGAGATACTCGCACACATCATCTAGCTTCCTCGATACCTATCTTATTCGCACATTCCAACTTCATTGCCTCTGATGCTAACTCATATACAATTTCCCCTATATATATATATGTATATATAGAAATCACAAATATTTAATTTCCTCTCTTGAACAATGTCACGTTTTCATATGTGTGTCCTTGTTATCTTTTATTTACTGTTTTGCAATAAAATTAATAAACATTTTTATTGTAAAAAAAACACGATTCTTCCTGCATACGAATAAATTTTATCGCAAATTAATTATAATCTCTTCTTTTTTTTTATTTTGTCCCATAAAAATCATTAATTAGAATTTTCACTATTAAAAAATAATTATTTTTTAGATGAATTTTCATTTTTTTTTATTATAGCATTTGACAGAATATGTTTTATTTTTACTTTAAAGAATTTTTGAAACATGAATTTTCATTTGTCAGAATTCATATTTTACAAAATTCCTCTTTATTTATTTTTTTTTAAAGAATTCTAATTTAACTGATATTTAATTTAGCATAATTCTCATTCAGTTGAATTTTAAGTGATTCGAATTTTTTAATATTAGCAATTTCCATTTATACCCGAATTGTCATCTTGTCCGAATTTTTTTTATTGTATAAATTTTTATTTGATTGAATTTTTAAAACGACTCATTTTTGTTTATCTGAATTTGCGTTTGAAAAATTCGTACAAATCAAAATTTGGACAAATGCGAATTTGAAATCATAAAAATTCGTACAAATGACAATTCGGTGTCTTAAAAATCCCATCAATTACAAATTCGGATAAATGAGAATTCGGCATCTTAAAAATTCGTAAAAATCAAAATTTGGACAAATGAGAATTTGGAATCATAAAAATTCTATCAATTAAAAATTCGTACAAATCAAAATTCGGACAAATGACAATTTGGCGTCTTAAAAATTCATACAAAACAAAATTTGGACAAATGAGAATTTGGAATCATAAAAATTCTATCAATTGAAAATTCCTACAAAACAAAATTCGAACAAATGACAATTTGGCGTCTCAAAAATTCCATCAATTAAAAATTTGGATAAATGAGAATTCGTCGTCTTAAAAATTCGGACAAATGACAATTCGGCATCTTAAAAATCCCATCAATTAAAAATTCGGATAAATGAGAATTCGGCGTCTTTAAAATTCGGACAAATGACAATTCTGAGACTTGAAAATTCGTACAAATGACAATTCGGCGTCTTAAAAATCCCATCAATTAAAAATTCGGATAAATGAGAATTCGGCGTCTTAAAAATTCGGACAAATGACAATTCTGAGACTTGAAAATTCGTTCAAATCAAAATTCGGACAAATGACAATTCGGCGTCTTAAAAATCCCATCTATTAAAAATTCGGATAAATGAGAATTCGGCGTCTTAAAAATTCGGACAAATGAAGATTCGGTCAATTCGATAAGATTAAAATTTATTTAAATTAGAATTATTTTCAATAAAAAAAAGAAGATAAATCCTGTGAAATATAAATTCTGTCAAATAAAAATTCGGTAACTAAAAATTGTGTTATTTTGATCAAAAATAAATATTAAATGCTAGTTCGAAAAATAAAAATGCATCTAAAAAATAATTATAGGTATCTAGAAAAATTCTCTAAAATAAAAATTCCAATAAAATATTTCGGATAATCATACGCCCGAATATATAAAAAAAAAAAAAAAAATTTTATTTATTTTTGACGTGCATTTATAATTAAGAAACAGTTTTTGAAAACATTTTAAAAATACGACTATATACAGGAAGTGTCTTTATAAAATGAAGATTTCCCTTCTTCAATGCTCGCTAAAATATTCGAAAATTTTTCACTTCCGTATTTACAATGATGCAAGAGAAGGTGTTTGTCATATATATATATATATATATATATATAAGTTTTTGTTGATATATAATAGATTATACATTTGTTGAGAATTATATAACATAAATACAATCATCATTTATGAGGATGAGGATGCATCATGAGGATGCATAATTGCACTGTTTGCAATGGCGCCTCTGTCGCCTTTCTCTGGCACATCGACCTTGAGAAAACGATCAGTTATAAAAATCTGGCGCCAGTCGATCGATTTTTTTTTTTTTGTCAATCGCGATTCTTGAATTCTCCAACATTTTTTTCATTTTGCATCATTGCATAAGGTATATATATATATATGTACAAACACATACAAATAAATTGCAGCTCATAAATTTTCTTCACCCATATGATTTATAGGCTGCTGTTACTCTCGTTACATGAAGTTGAAACTTCCTGCAATAGTAATATGTATTTTCCCATAAAGAACATCTTTGTACGTATATATATATATTGAAATAGAAAAACCCTTTTAATGAAAAACACATTTTTGTCTATGAAAAAGTAATAATAAAAATAATAATTTTTTTTTTTCATCATCTTCAGTGAAAAATTTAATGATTTTAGCGAGCGCAGTTAAAGAAAAACTGTTAATTTAGTATATGCTATTAGAAATAGAAATAAAGTTGAAGAAAATAAATATGTTTCGTGTTTTTCCCCAGGGCGAGTATACATATTAGATTATAATTTACTACTTTACGTTTAATAGTTAACAAGACTGTAAGCTATGTTCTCATTATATGCAACTACTTTGCACACACTATGTTACAAACGCCTCTCTTTGGAAAACTTGTTATTTTACAAACTTTACTTGTTAATAATATATACAGGTTTTTACCTCACACATATATATATATATATATATATATATACTTAAATGAAAGTGTGACAAGATAATCGTAAGTATATTATTAATTTTTTAATATTTCAAAGTTAAAAGAAGGCGATAATTCTTTATCTCATTATTTGGAAGAATAAAACTAAATATAATTTAGAAAATTCAAATAAAAATTCTCTTTGAGTCGATCTTTGCGCTAGGAAAAAATATGAAAATTTAAAATTCCGGAGTTAAATGAATTTAAAAAAGGAATGTATTTCCGGTGTCGTGAACATGCTGCATTGCATATATATATATTTGAATCATTTTCGTATCATCTTATTACGGCAGCCATTAACCCAATTACGACATACACAACTATTGCATGCTTGTACAAATGATTGCGTTAAACACTGAATTCTTTGTCGGCGTCAATTATTACATATCATCAAGACATAGATTATACAAGTCAGAAAATAATACGGTCAGAAAATTTAGCGCCTGATGAATACACATTTGGCGTCGCATGAGGATCTCGAAAGATTAAATTCCACAATTTTCCTTCTATTAATTAATGCCATCATTTTCTATGATAATTTTTCATTAAAAATATCTTAGATTTTTAATACAATTAGTCAACAAAAAAAAACTATAATTGTAATGGAAAATACGTCAATTAGTTAATTATTTTCTGATTCATTGAATTCTGACTCATATTTATTTCAATTTTCAACTTTTAAATTTTCAGAATATTCTTCTTAATTTGAATTTCCCAAAAAATTGAGTTATATTTTGCGAAATTGCCCTTTAAAGAATGAATTCAAATGAAATTTGTTTTATACTTCCGTTCTGTTTTTCATTGCATTACACTCTTAGTGTTAAAATGCCATTTTTTTTTTGCCACTATATATGGAGACTAATTTCGTGGAATAAATGTTTGTTTCAATTGGCCGCTTCTTCCTTCCTCCATTATCCATATTGGACTTGGTAAACTCAATAAATAAACGATGTTCATTTACATCGAGAAAGTCAAGTGTTATTCTCAGCATGCTGCTCATTGAAGGGAAGAGAACGCTTCAAGTGAGAAGTAATTTGCACCGCAAAAGATATATATATATATAAATACAACCTTTTTATTCAAAGTAAAAATAATATATTTTCCCTACTCTCACAATTCATATAGAAAATTTGAATTATAATAAAAAAAGAGAGTAAAATTTTAATTTGAAAGAAAATTCGATAAGATTTGTCTTCCAATTTTTATGAGACCATACATATATAACAGTATAGTGTAAAATGCGTATTTTCAGTACGTTGCAGGAAACAGGAAATCCTGAGAATTAAACCAACAGTGTCTTCACTGTTCGAGAATATTATTCTCTCTTGGGAGAGAGAAAGAGAGAGAGACAAGAAATCATTGGAATTATTTCTCTATACTTCATTTTTAACTGAGCGCATATGATTCTTGACCTTTAGAATTTATTGAAAGAAAAACATTTCCTGATTTAGAAAAGGAGGCAAATAGAAAAAATGTATAAAATTTTTAATTTAAAATCCTTTTTTAAAATTTCGTTATAATTTAATAAAAAGATGTTAGTTTATGACTAACTGAGAATTCAATATTTCTAGTCCCCTACAGGCAATCAAGTTTTCGATAACGGTCCGGTCGTTAGGCAGATGGTTAATTTCGATCTAATTTTTTTCTTTTCCTAAATTTCAAGCTATTTAAAATTTTTAAAAAAAGGAACCTAAAAAGCCGGAAATGTATCACAAAAAGAAGCGTTATTCAATTTAGTACCGAAAATATAGAAATACACTGTTAAAAATTGGGCTTCAACTTTACATTAAAAAGATTGAAAATATATATTTTCAATCTCGACAAGTGCGAATGTTTTTATTTCATTGGCTTAAAGTTTTTTGTCCAACCAATCACAT